GAACGATTACCGAGACCTCGTGGCTCCGCTGCTTGATTCTGGAGAGAAAGAGACTGCCCAGAGCCCGGGTGCACACACGGTCACAGGCTATCAGGGCCAACAGCCTCAGTTCAGTTGATAGAGAAACGGCTGAGGACTTGTTTTTCCAAAAGCCCCAAATCGCTTTGACTCATGTCCTACCAGGTACAAGTGACAGGAGCTTTCCGGTGAGGAAGGCTGCATGATTCAAGCTCAACCCTGCTGTCCTTCGCAGACCAACCCCCGTCCACGGTGCCACAGTGGCTGCTTAAAGAAGGCCGCGCAGAACCCTGGGGAATAAATTTGTTCTGTTCTGCAGCTCGAGTCAAAATGAGTTTAGAAGGTCAGACCTATATATTTCAAAGTCCAGGGCACAGAATAAGCATCTCCCCCATCCCTCTGTCCACGGCACCATCACCAAGAGCTGGGGCCCTAGAGTCCATTGCCCAGAAAACGGGGAAAGAAGGGAAAACAGCACAGTTATTAATTCTGTTGCTGATTCCAAAGAAGGAGGTGTTGGCAGCACTCGCGAGGACAAAAAAGAACATAACCAAGTCTGTAGAGGTCACAGCTGGGACTCAGCATCAGAGGCCTGGTGGGGGAATAGGAGGAGGAGGCTCACAGGGGAAGGAGGCGCGGATCTATCCCGTGGAGCAGCAGGGTGAGGAGGCCGCCTGCGCAGCAGGTGCACAACAGGAACAGAACAGCACCTCTGGGCCACGCAGCTCCAAGTGGGTGGCTGGGGCGGGAGCCTGTCCCTCCAGGGACTCCACCATTGTGACAAGTGACCAGGAGGCCAGCAGCCCAGCTGATGGGCAAGCAGAGTCCCCACAGAGGAGGCCTAATACCCAGAGGAGCAAAAGGCTTGTCTCCAGGAAGCGCCACATTGTCTGGCCTGGGTCTGCTCAGGTGGTGACGTGTGTCAGCCCTCTGCCTGAGGTCTCTCTGTCCTTATCATACCCTTCTCCACCAGCCATGCTCCCTGCACCATGTAGACAGCCTCAAGGAGGTGTCTGGCTGCTCCCCCAGGCTCCCAGGAATGTCACCAGTGCCATGGGCACCCAAACTGCACCTGGGATTCAGGAGAGAGAAATCAGAGGTGCCTCTGTGGACCCCCAAAGAAGACAGGCAAACAGCCATAGCCTCCCTCTTCCAAGAGTTCTGCAGTCTAGAAGGTGCACCAACCACTGTCCTTGGGTGCTCTGGAGGGACCTTCTATCCTGGAGTCGGGGGACCACCCCCTTCCAATTCTGCCTCCACTCAGTCAGCAATCTTCCCGAGCCCGCTCTGGGGGCCATCTCCCTGTTCCCACCAGTATGTGGCCATGCAGTGGGTAGCTCTCCTCAGACCTGGCCTTGGAGGGGATGTTGGAAGCCCAGCTATGGCCTCAGATGCCAGCCACATCTCCATGCAAGAGTCCCAGCCTGTGGCACACCTGATGCTCCAGGGACTATGTCCTCATGAGCTCAGAACACAAGGTTAGGAGAAGGGACAAGGCTATTCACCACCCAAAACCTGAGCAGGTGCACCCAGGGACTGGGGACCCTGAGTCACAGATGTCATTGATACTCTAGGAAGCGGGGCAGCCTCCACCGGACCACCAACAGCAGTTACTCAGCAAAAAGCAAGGCTGTGGTTGGTGGGTAGATTCTGTGTTCAGTGGGATCTTCTCTACAAACCCAATTTCTATGGAGAATCTCTTCCTTTGCTGGGTGGTCCCTGCCAAGCCTGGGTGGTGCCGGGCTCCTCCTGGCCAGCCGAGAGCTCTGGTTTTCTTTGCAGCGTCTCCACAACCCACTAATGAGACCCTGTTAGTGGTTATGAATGTAAATGCATTCTTTGTTATCCTGCAAGATCAGGATTAGCGAGATGACAGGATTTATTGCTTCTGTTAGGAAGATATGATACTGGTTGTTGTTGTGTCTTTAATTTTGTAGGGAGAGCAAAAGTATAGAGCTACATAGTCTAAACAAACACAAAGCCGTGGAAGAAAAAAAGCACAAAACATTGAAGATGGAAGCTATCCAAGTCTCTCCAACCTCATGGGAAATGTGACAGTGCACTCAGTGTCCTTGGTAGTCACCAAAAAAGAAAAACCCAAACAAACCAAAACTGTCTGCACCTGACCTCCACGGGGACTCCTGGGTTTGTTACTGGTGGTGGGTGAGATAAGCCATGGTGCCTAAGGCACAGATGGGCTCAAGGAAACTCACTCCTGTTCCTATAGAGGGAAGAACTAGCAATTGTTCCCATTCACCTCGCAGATGCCAGTTGGGTAAGTGAATGCTGCGGTGCCCATACCTGATGGTCCATTAGGCTGTGCCATCGCAGGTGCCCAGTGCCCTGGGAGGCAAAAGGCAATAAGGTTACCCGGTCAGATGGTGATGAGCATGGATGAAGAAAACTAGAAGGTCAAGTGCTCGTGACCTCAAAAAGAATCAAATCAACATGCTAGTATGACCTCCTTGGGAACTGCAATACTCCAGGACATCTGAGAGCTAAAGGCTGTGACATATCACCATCCCCAACAATCACTAAAACTGTACAATCTCATGATTGACTTAAAATATATAAATAAAATATTACGTGGATATACATAAGTTAATGGAAAATTTGAACAACACTAACATGCAAAGAGCATCTACAAACCAATTACAACAAAGAATAGCTTAATTGAAAAATAGTGGCTAAGGAATTGACCAGTGGTAGAGCACTTGCCTAGGAAGCCTGAGGCCTAGCATTTGTATCCCAAACACTGAAAGAAAGAAGGAGCAAGTGAAGACAAATATAGATCAATAGGGCCAGGCTACAGAAGGGCAATGCACAAGAGATGGAATCTACACTGACTGTCTCATCAGAAGGTGTTCAACCTTACCAGTACCACCAGTAACCAAGAGGCCACAATTAGAAAAAAATAAGTTTGGGGGCTGGGGCTGTAGCTCAGTGGTGAGCATGTGCCTGGCATATTCAAGGCCCTGGGTTCCCTCCCCATCACCCCGAAAACCCAAAACCAAACAACAATAACAAAAAAAAAATTTTTGGTACTTAACAGATGGCGGTGATTAGCTACAGTGGGCAGAATAATGCTCCCCAGCCAAAGCCCCTGGTACCTGTGGATACAGGGCCTGTCGGGGGATGTGATCAAGTCCTCTGAGACAGGAAGTTACCCTGGACTGTTTGGGTGGGGTCCTCACAAGAGGGAGGGAGGGAGGCGTGAGCCAGAGGGGGTGTGACAAGAGGAGCACCCTGCTGGCTTTCAGGTAGAAGAGAGGGCAGGAGCCGGGATGCAGGGCCTCTAGGACCTGGACGAGGCGGAAACACTCTTCCCTGGAGCCTCAGGAAGGAACCCAGGACAAGGACACCAGAACTGTAAGGACCAACGCCTGGAAAGGAAGGGAGCAGGCGTGTGCCACTGCAGGCGGGGACATCAGGGCCGGGTTACATGCCCCATTGTCCCTGGGCACAACCGTGGACCCAACCCATCCATCCATCCTGAGATAACCAGGGGCAAGTCCCGACCTGTGACCTGCTGAGAGGAGCCACGCTGCCTTCATCACGAGTGTCCTGCCGCTTTCCCTGTGGCACCCCGCGGGGCCCACACATTCCAGCTGGTGTCACGGGATCCCCCCTCCATCTCACAGGGGAGCTGGGGCTCCAGAGGGCGGGGTGGTTTCTTGGGGCCACACAGCTGTGGGGGCAGCACTGGAACCGAACCAGACTAGGAAGCACCGACACCTGACTGGTTCCCTCTCTGCCTGGCCCTCTCACCTCCGCGTCATTCTGGGTGTCCCTCGGTGACTTTGGAACAGGCCCCCTCTGACCTACCCCTGCACAGATCCAGGGGTCCCGTGGATCTCTCTCTGCTCACTTGAACTTCACCCTGGGGACCAGGACCCCTTGGGACATCCAGGGCAGGATGCCTCCCACAGGCACTCTCAGCCGACGGCTGGGAGCAGGCAGCCGCTGCCTCATTAATCACTCTACCCAGAAAGTGGCAGCAAGAAGAACCTTGCTGGCCAGTGGCCCAGGTGACGGCCGTTGCCTGCTAGGATGGCAGCTTCACGGGCGTCGATTCTCCCCCTTGCCTTCTCTTCTCCTCCTTCTTTCCTCGGTACTGGGGGTTGGACCCAGAGCCTTGTCATGCTGTCAGGAGCTCCACCACTGAGCAGCATCCCAGCTCTTTTCTAAATTCTATTTTGTGATGGGGTCTCAGATACATCGCCCAGGCTGGCCTTGAAGCTGTGATCCTCCTGCCTCAGGCTTCCCAGTGGCTGGGATTTGGGGTGTGTCCACAGGTTTGGGGTTGATCTTCTTCATGACAACCACATGGTCATGTCAGATGTGATATCTAAACTTGCACGACTGAGTGGAGGCACCACAGCACTTGTGCAAGAGACACGTGGGTGTGTGGAGAATGCACTGTCCAGGGAAGAGATGCAGAGTTTCTCAAAATCTGGCCATGAGCAGACTGTGTGTCCTCAGCAGCTCAGGCCCTCTCTGTGCTCCTCTGTGGCCTCAGGAAGCTGAGCTAGAATGATGTCCTTCCTAGGGGTCAGACTCAGAGTGCTTTCAGACTACAGATGACAGGGGGGATCTGGAAAGATTATCCAGTCCTACTCCCCCACTAAACCCCTGAGGACCAGTGGCCTGTCCACCCTGAGCTGGCCTGTCCTCACATCTACAGAGCCCTCTGCACCTCCTGCCTCTGGCGGCCCATCGCCACTCACCATGCAGTGGAGGACCCGGGAGCTCTGCAGCTCCTTGCAGCACTCCATGTCACCGCTTTGAGAAGCAAGAACCTTCTAGACACCAGTGATGACCCACTGTAGCCACAAACACCTCACTGAGGAACTGGCCCGGGCCTTTGCCTACGTGAAGGCCCAGTTGTTTTCCCCGACCTTGAGCCCTGGTGCTCAAGCACTGAACCCAGGGCGCGTCCTCTGAAGCCTCAGGTGGTGGCAGGTAGGGGAAGCCTGGCCTACCTGTCACCTTCTTCTCCAAGAAGGACCAGATGAGCTCGCCAATTTTTGACTTGTCTGCCACCGCCTCTTTCAGCAGCTGCCCGCAGCACACTGATGGGGAGAGGAGCAGAAAGACACCCGTCAGACCTTGAATAGAGGGAAGATGGAGAAAAGGGACCTTGGGGCAGGGCTGGTGTGAGGCCCTGGGTCCCATCCTCACGACACATACAAGGATGATTACATAAAATTAGGTTTTAAACACACATTTTAAAAACTGTAGGCAACGTGGGATGACACTGACAAGGAGGTCCCTGAGAGGCCGGGCGGCACTGGAATGACTGAACAGAGTGCGCAGCTCTCTGGGTCGCTGTGGAAGATGAACGTTGGTGTGGGGAAAGGCTCCCCCCTGACACCACCGCACAGGGAGGGCGGGGAGGGCGTCTCCACAGACCTTCTGCTCTGAAAGGTGTTCCAGGAATGGTGGGTACACAACAGGTGGCCAACTGATATGCCAGTGGGCTCAGCTACTTTAAAAGACCACACTGGAGTGAGCGCCCTGCTGCACGGTCCGCCCTGGACGCATCCCACGGCAGCAGGGGTCTTTTCCATCATGCCCCACCGTGTCCCCAAGCCTGGGCCATGGCTGGCATGAGGGAGAGGCTGGGCCACCGGTGCCGGGTGAATACACACCGCCTCCCACGTCCTTGACTAGGAAAGCCCTCAACAGCCAGAGCACAAGACTCAGGCTGTGTCTTCACGGAGTCGCTGACTGCACAACCTTGGCTTGGAGGAGTTTTCTGCTTCTACTAAAGAAACCAGAAACCATCCTAAAATTAGCAGGATGACATGAGGTTTGTGACAAGGACCATTATAAAGATTTAGTCCTTAACAATGACGTGCTTAACTCCCTATGCAAAGGACAGCAGGAATTTTGTCCTGAGTGGTGGGCAGTTTCACCAGCAGAGACAACAAGGGCTGATGGGAGTGTTTCCCGCGGCCAAGTTTGCTTTGTCTTATTCCTTCTCTCAACAGCCTGAGGCTGTGATAAGCGAAGGAAGCTGTTTCCGGGAGAGAGCCAGGAAGTGCAAAAGGGGGATGCGTCCTGGACGAGATGGAGAGGCCTCGGGCTCTGGCCACGAAGGAGCAGCAGGGGCGGTGTTTACTCTTCTCCTAGAAAGCTCGAAACTGAGAAAAATACATGAAGCCACTCTTTCCAGCCTTGGACGGCACGGGCCGTGACCCTGAGAGGGGAGACACCCAACATGAGCCCCACAGTCACCCTGGATTCCATCCGTGGGCACGTCTCAAACCAGCACAGAAGCGGGCACAGACCGAGCAGCAGTGTCGCTGGGTGGAGGAGACAGCCTGGAGGTCGGGATCCAGAGCTGGAATCTGAGCAACAAGCTAATGGAGAGGGGGAGCTGGCACGGAGGTCCCAGAATCTGCATGGAGCTCGTCGAATCTTTGGTCAATACAGAGCTGCACAGGTGCAGAGGGAGCCTCCTCAGGGCCTGGGAGAGGAAAGCTATGGGGAAGCTGAAAAGGGAATGCAATTCACAGTGCCGGGGATGCCGGCGCTGCAGCCAGAGGGAGTCCTGCTGAAGACCCCAGAAACTCAGCGGAGACCCCAGAAAGGTCACACTGAGGTGTAAAGGTGCCCTAGCCCTATGGTAAGAACTCTGGGATACCTCGTTTAAACAGCCTGAAAATGAGGGGCTGAGGCTGTAGCTCAGCGGCAGAGCAGTTGCCTGCACGTGGGAGGCACTGGTCGGGTTCCCAGCACTACATATGATGAAACAAGTAAAGGCAAGCTGTCCGTCTGCAACTACAAAGTGATTTTTTTTAAAAAAAGTCTCAAAATCAAGTTGATTCTCCAGTAAATTAGCTGCCTGTTAGAACTCAATTCTTATTTATTTATTTATTTTTAGTTGTTGATGGATCTTGGTTTTATTTATTTATATGTGGAGCTGAGAATCCAGCCCAGTGCCTCATACATATTAGGCAAGTGCTTTGCCACTGAGCCCCAGCCCCAGCCCCCAGAACTCAATTCTTTTAAACTCAAATTTTTCAAGCAGAAGCACACGATCCAGACCGTCAGCCACACAAGCACCACAATGTCCAGCATATAAACAAAAACTTGACATACAGAAAATCAGAAAAAGGCAAGCCTCTTCAAGGACAGCATAAAGGCCATAGAACCCGAGCGAGGGATGGTGGAGATCAGACCTGGTGCACCCAGCCAAGCCCAGCTTGGGAAGGTGAGGCAGGAAGATCGCAAGTTCAAAGGCAGCCTCGGCAATTTGGTGAGGCCCTTAGAAATTTATTGAGTCGTCTCAAAATCAAAAAAAAAAAGAATTTAAGAGCTGGGGATTTGGTTCAGTATTTAAGCACGCTTGAGTTCAATCCCTTGTACCAAAAAAAAAAAAAAAAGAAAAAAAGAAAAAAGAATTGGTACACCAAGTCCTTAAAACAGTAATTATAAATATAGCTAAAACTTTAAAGGAAAAGGTAGTTAAAATGAGTGAGCAGATGGGGAATCTCAGCAAACAAATAAAAACCACAAAAATAGAACCCGATGGAAATTCTGGAACTGGAAAATACAAAATCTTACATGAAAGGAATCGCCAGACGAGCTGCAGCGGATCTAGAGGCAGGAAAACATGCAATGGAGGAATTAGAAACTGAGCGGAGATGGGGAGGAAGGTCTGGGGCAGAGGAACAGTCTAACTTCCTGGCCACCCGAGTCCCAGAAGAGAGGGGTGGGGCATGTGAGGGATGACAGAGGAGAACCTGATGACCCACAGTGGCCACACATCCAAGAGTCTTTGAGACTAAGCAGGATCAGCACAAAGGAAGCCACGCTTTGATGCACCGGAGTCAAATTGCTGAAAGCTAAAAAGAAAGAGAAAACCCTAAAAGCAGCCAGAGAGGGAGGAAAGACGCTTCATATACAGAGAAACAAAGATGAGAGAAGCTGCCGTGGAGTCCTCATCAGAGGCAGTGCAAGCCCGAAGACAATGGATGACATTTCCAAAGTGCTAAGGGGGAGAAACCTGTCAACACAGATCTTTGCAAAGTGCAGGTACAACAACGACATTTGCAGACACACGGAAGCTGAGAGGATTTGTCACCAGCAGACTTTGACTAAAAGAAATATTAAAGGAAGTTCTTTAGGCTGAGAGAAAATGATACCCGATGGAAGCCTGGATCTACACCAAGGAAGGAAGAGTGTTAATAGGCAGGACACAGTCTTCCCTCTTATTTCTTCACTTCAACACAAATGGCTTTTAAAAGAAAAATAGTTATGATACATTGTGGAGTTTACACAGCAGCACGAAGGACCGCTCCCTCTTGGTGGAACGCAGTGCCACGGGGATGTGCCATGGTGAAGAGGTGCAAGGGTCACCCCAGGACCGAGACAAGCCAAGGGCACACGTTCAATCTCTAGAGCAACCACCAAGGAAAGCAGAGAGACACTCCTAAGAGAGCAACCGCACAGATGAAATGGATCACTACAGCTAGCTGGTTAATCCAAAGAGAGCAGGAGAGGAGAGGGGGAGCAGACAACCCAGAGAGAAAACGGAAACCAGGGTGGGGAGTGCAGCCCCCTGTGAGACGGCTGAGAAATGCACTGAACTCTCCAGCTACAGGGAATGCCCGCTCGGATTTTTAAAAATAGCAAATCCCCAGTATGTGTTGTCTATGAGGCCCATATTTAAAACGTTAGGATACAGATAGCTTTAAAGAAAAGGAATAGAAGATAAACCACACGGACACTGATCACAAGGTGAGACGGCCACGTGTCAGACCAAGTGGACTCTAAAAATATGAAGATTAATAGAGAGGTAGAGGATATGGCCCAGCAATAGAAGGGTCATTTCATCAAGAAGACATAACAAGACTTAATGCATATGCACTGAAAAAACTACATGGAGCAGACACTGGAAGAAAATAGACAAATCCACAATTAGAATTGGAGATTTTAACCCCTCTCTTCCAGTCAGTGAAATCATAAGTCTGGAGAAGTCATTCAGGACCAGGAAGGTTTGAACAGCGCTGTCAAAAACCTCATCCTGACTGACATTTACTGAGCATTACAGCCAACAGCTTCAGGATCCGTGCTCTTTTCTAGTGCACATGGGATTCACCGGTGCAGACCATATGCTGGGCCATAAAAAGTATCAAAAACTTTAAAGCAACAAAGTTAGTCAGCAATAGAATTAGAAATAAGTAAGAAAAAATAATCTGGAAAAAAAATCTCCAAATATTTGGAAACTAAGTGGTGCACTTCTAAATAAAATACAGGTGCCAAAAAGAAACCACAAGGGAAATTAGAAAGCTTTTTGTCTGTGTTTTTTGTGGTGTGTGTGTGTGTGTGTGTGCGCGTGCGCGCGCCAGGGATTGATCCTGGAGGCATTCTCCCTTTGAGCCCCATCCCCAGTCCCTTTTATTTATTTTTTTAAATTTTTGAGACAGGTCTCCCTAAAGTGCTTAGGGCCTTGCACGTTGCCCAGGCTAGCCTTGGACCTGCCTCAGCCTCCTGAGTCATTGGGATTACAGGTGTTTGCCCAGCTTAAAAATATACTTTTTTTTTTCAAGTTTTCTTTGCAGTTGTAGATGGACAGAATGCCTTTTTAAATATATTTTTTAATTTTTATGTGGTGCTGAGGATGGAACCCTGTGCCTCACACATGCCAGGCAAGTGCTCTGCCACTGAGCCACAGCCCCAGCCTAGAAAATATTTTTAACTGAACGATAATGAAAACAAAGCGCCCCCAAGTGGGACGAAACGGAGTGGTGTTCAGCGGGACTCTGTGACCGCAGCTGCCCAGTGAGGGAAGAGTGACAGAGGCCCTGCCCCTGGCCACCTCACTCAAGCTCACCCTGTCAAGACAGTCCTGGAGCAGTGTCCCCTCTCCTAGGGACTCTGTCATGGTGTGGGTGTGATGTGTCCCTAAAAGCTCCCGCGTGAGATGATGCGAGAAGGTTCAGAGGGGAGATGAGGGCTGTGAGGGCTTAGCCAGTCAGTGAATCGACCCCGCGGGCATGACCTGGTGGTAACTGAATGGGGCGGGGTGTGGCTGGGGGCCTCAGGGCGCCGTTGGTACGCATTCTGAGTCTGAGGACGGAGGCTCCCTCTGCTCCCCTTGCCACACTCTTCAGCCCAGGGAACCGAGCCACCTTCTATGGACGGAGACCTCTGAAACCATGAGCTCCCAAAGAAACTTGCCTCCTCTAAAGTTGTTCTTGTCGACCTTTTAGTCATAGCAGCAAAAAAACCAGAACAAAACAAAAAAGCGACTAAAACAGACTTGAAGCCAAGAAAGAAAACAAGGGTCGTATCCGGGGTCAAGATGTTCGACGAAGGCAATTGTCTTCCTGCGGTGGGCTTTGATGAGGGCTTTGGAGGGCCACAGTGGGGGTTGCGAAGGAGTAGGCGCTGGCAGGCCGGGCTGGGCCTGCAGTGGGGGCCTGGTCCAGCCTCGCTGGGCCTGCCCGCCTGGTCTCCCCGCACACTCCAGCTCTTCTTCCTCCACACCGGTCCTCTCCACGTATCCAATAAGGTGCGCGGCATTCAGTAGATGCCCCATGGGTGCTATTAATAATAGTCCAGTGAATCCCTCATGGCTGATTTTGATTAGAGAATTCTGCTTGTTATAAAAACAAGCAGATCCACATTGCCATACCCCACTCCACGGAGACAACCCGTCCCCGGGTGGAGGCTCCTTCAGATTTTGCATGTGCCTGGGCCAACGGGCTTTGTGTTTTTTGACAGGGCTGAGTGAACTGCCTTCCGCCCCCTCTTCCAGCAAGATGTTTTATCACTTGGCGGTTGCTTTTCGCAGGGTGTGAGGGTGCCTCTTGCTGTCCCCGTGCGGGGAGCACTTCAGTGGAATCCAACCCTAGGCGTGAGTCACCAAGTTGGCAGATCTGCACAGTGAGCATCTCAGTCAGGAGTGACTTTTTCCTTTCAAAAAGTTGTTCGCACTTGTATTCCCACCTATTATAAAAGGGGGGTCTTTCGACAAGTGTGGCGGGCTCAATGCTGGGCGGCTTGCGTGTTTGGAGGTGTGCTCCTCTGACTTAGGGCTTCCTCAACGTGGAGATCAGGACCACACCAAGTGGCCCCAGAGGAGCAGACAGTGCCCGGAGCCCTGGTTCCCCAGGCTTCTGTGGAGAGCCCTGAATGGCTTGGTGCTGTCTCTTTGCACCTGAGGTCCCTTCAACTGGCTCCTTGGGTCTTCTGATGTCCCCCATTTATCAAGAACACCTTTGGGGAAAGCAAACTTTCTGAATTAGTTTTCAAATGCTCCATGACCTAGAGTCCCATGAGGGACCCTCACTACAAAGCTTCACGAGCATTTCTATTTTCATTTTTGGAAAAATCTAGGCAGGTAATATCATCTCTTCACAACTGCTGCGCTGAAAGCAAATTTAGATTTAAAAAAATTCCTGAACGAGAGTAACTGCATAGGGGAAGCGCAGCATGAGCCGATTACTCAGAGAAAGCCGGGTGCTGATAAGGTGCTCCTGTTGTTCTCAGGTCCGCCCCCGCTCTGCCACGAAGGGTCTTGTGTCCTTCCACACAGCAAAGAGTGCAGACACTTGCAGGAGCACGTGGGTGCGGCCACAGGTAGCCTGCCGCTCATCCTCAACCACCGCCACGCTCCCGTTCCTACCTGTCCCCAGCCATCCCCACCCACTGCCACAGACTTCATCTTGGAATACTCTTGATATATCAAATTGAAAGAAGGAGTGATTTGAATAATTCCATTTTTCCAAGAAAAGGTAAATGGAGCCGGGTGCCGTGGCATTTGCCTATAATCCCAGCAACTCAGGAGGCTGAGGCAGGAGGATCACAAATTCAAAACCAGCCTCAGCAACTTAGGGAGGCCCTAAGCAACTTAAAGACACCATGTCTCAAAACAAAAAAAATAAAAAGGGCTGAGATGTTGCTCAGCGGTTAAGCCTCCTGAGTTCAATCCCTGGTTAAAAAAAAAAAAAAAAAAAGTGGATGCAGAGAATGTACACGTTATCCTAAAGTGTTTTCCACACTAACCAAATCTGCAGAGTAACTGTTCAGTTCCCCCTCTTGATTTTACAGGTGTGACTTTTGTCCTTGATTCCTGGCTAGTCCCCGAGGGTCTGGAATTTCAAGTTGGAGCAAACCTAATTGAAAAGCATTTTTATTCCAACTGTGATTCTTTGGGGTGCTATATGAATGAATATATTTGTGCATGTGCATGTATTCTCTCTATAGATTTGTATGGTGTGGATGTATAATTTGGGGGTGTGCATATACATATTTATAAATCTGGGGTGCAGGTCCCGTGTCCTCCTGGTACATAAAGCAGAGGTAATGCAGGCTGGCTGTGCAGCATGGGGGTGGCGCCTCGTCTCCCTCCCTCCGCCCCTCACTGCACCTCCTACACTCGCCTCCTCCTTCCCAGCCCTTGATCCTCCTGAACACAGGCCGCCATTCCAAGACCGCCTGGGACCACCTCGGCAAAGACCTGGAGAGCTGATTTCAATATTTTCTCTCCTCCTGGTAAAATATTTATTGAAACTGTGCAGAGCGAGAAGTCTTCCTCTGGTTCAGAAATTGTTTGCCTGTAAACACGCTGACCTGGGTTGGGGGAGCGGAGGAGACGGAGCAAATAAATCAGCAGCAGATGCCTATTAGGAGCCGAGGCTCCCGGCGAGCCAGCCGCAGGGCTGCAGGAGAGCTCCTGGGCGGCAGAGACGCCAGCCAGCAGCCCAGGGAGACAGAATGATGACTGGAAACGCTCCGGCTCTTTGGGCTGCGGACACGTTTTTGCTGGTTGATGTCTTTATGGCAATATTCTTCAGGAGGAAAAATCTTATACCTGTAAAGATGGACTAACTGGAAATTGTTCAGAGCAGAGAGCAAGAAAGAAAATTGATATGGATTCTTCCTGCCCTCCACCAGCCCGTAAAATGAGGAAGCTTGGGGGGCAGAAGGCAAAGAAGGCTCTAGAAGCAGTGCTGCTTCTGGGCACTCACCGTTGACAAGGCCATATTTTTGGGCCAGGAGGCCAGCCTGCAGCCTCTTCCCGCTGCCCATGGGCCCCAACAGCAGCACCCTCGGGGTGAATGGGGCATTGGATCGATGGCCACTTTGGACGAAGGTCAGAGCTGGAAAGAGAAATGAGGATAATAAGCCCAGACGCTAAGGGAAGGGAAGCCAGCTCATGACCCCTCTGCCTGGCTCCTTCCGTGGCCATCAGTATTTCTCTTTTATGGCACCATAGAAACCCTCGGTGCCCCCGACCTGCAGGAACGAGCGCCCCCTCCCCACCCCACCCCCGCCCGGGACTGCCCTGGAATTGCACTAGAACCCGCACAGGCGGCCACTGGCCTGCAGGTCGAACTGGGGCTGGGTGTGCTGCAGAGGGAGGTTGGCTCTGGCACGTGACAGGTTTCCAAACTGCATCCTGGCTGAGCCTCTGACCTCCAGCCCTGGGCCAGGCGGGTCCCCCAGGGGAGGTGTCGGCTGGGTGTCAGTCTCAGGCTTTGATGAACGCATCAGGCCATGCGGGAGGCTCCCGTGCAGGGACTTCTAAAGGACTTGGGAATTGGTGGAGAATAATCTGCGCAGCGGCACTCCAGTGACACCAACTTTGTTGCAAGTCTCCAAAGAGGCGGTGGTGAAACAGGTCACAGGAGTGGCAGAGACGCACCCCTGGCATTTGATGAACAAAGACGTGGAGAGGCAGGGCCGAGCACTGCTGACAGCAAGACCTGCACCACAGGGGCCCTGGATGCCGAGAAGTCACAGGGAAACGTACTGAACATCAAACAGGCCACCTCCCACTCAAGGACACACGAGGGGAGCTCAGAGAACAGGCTGATGGGGCTGTGAAGAGCAGGCTTCCGGGCGGCCCCGAGGAGCTGCCCACCAAAGGGGCCAGCCTTTATAACAGGGCCTCCTCACTCGCCTCACTTCTTGCAGAAGCATCAGCCTGTCCCTGCAATGCCAGCCTCGGGACCCTGACTATCACCTGTGCCATTGTCCCGCCAGGGGATTCCGTCCTGGGCAGAGGCCTGAGCCAGCATGCCACTCTCAGAAATGTGCCCCCAGAAACCATTTAAGGTCCCTGTCGGGGTTTCTCAGCCTCAGCACATGGACACTGAGGCCACATGGTTCCTTGTTGTGGGGTGTCCTATGCACTGTGTGGTGCTGAGAGGCAATCCTGGCTTCCACCCACAATGTACCAGAAGCACGACTCCATGCTGTGCAACCAGAAATTGCTTTCAGACAGCCAGTTGTTCTCCCTTGGATCCTGGGGGCCGTAGGGACAGAACTGCTCCTAGTGAGGACCCTTGGGCTCATTTGGGGATTATTTGGTTGGATGGATCATCAGAGACATCACCAATCCCCTCCTTAGAACTAATGGCACAGGAAAGTCAAAGCTGGCTGTCTTCATCGTCACTATCACGGCCAGCATATATTAACTGCTAAGCTAAGCACTCTGTAGTCACTCCCTCATTTGAGTGGCCCACAATCCCATGAGGAAGGTATCATTCTTGTCCCATTTTACAGATGAGTCAGTCAGGCTCCGAGACAACTCTCCAAACCCACCACCACGGGCACCATTTCCCCACTGAGAGCCCGAAACTCAGCAAGGGGCTCCAGTAAGGCTCTCCTCAGACCGCCCATGATCCAGAGCCTCTGAAAAGCACCAAATGCTACAGGCGAGGCTGCCTGCTTACAAATGACGCTGAATTTACAGTAAATAACTAAGTTAATTAGAAGTAATGATCCCCCAGACGGTCTCGCCATCTGATTATTCTTTTTAAGAAATATGTGGTTGCTGGGTACACTGCAGAGAGATTAAAAAAACAACACATAGAGAATTCTGCATTCCAATTTCCAATTTATCTCTCCGCATTATTAATTAATAATAATTAATATTCAGACACTCACATTTTTATTTACAATTCCAGGCATGAATTCTTTATGAACAATCATATGAACTTTTAAATTTAATTAAGTAATTTGGAAGTAATTAATGTGTAAATTCAAAATCATGGCATAAGATAAACATGGCGATGTTTATCTTAAGAGCGCAGAGTATTTGCTACTAAAGACCCTTCTGAGATGCAAAGCGCTGGAAAATTATAAGCCTGGCATTTCTGAAAGCACCGTCATTTTCCAGACACACGCCTGTGGGCTGGTGGTGCCTCTAGATGGCATGGCTGCCCCAGAGACTGCAGCGGGACAGGGCAGCGGGGGGACAGCGGGAAGCACCCAGGGGCTCAAAACAGGTCTCATCGCGATAAACCTTTCTTTAAGGAGACCCGAGGGAGCAGGTGAGAAAGGACGTCACCAGCCGTCTAGTGTCCTCAGTGTCTCTGTCGAGCCTGTATCATGTCGAAACAGACTGAATGCCTCGGTTTCCAGGAGTCGGTGGACGGGGAGAACTGGGTTTTGACACAGCAAGACTTTTAAAAAATCATAACACAGTTCTGGGGACAGAGTGGTTCTGGCTTCCGTCTGCCTTCATAGGCAGGATGCTGAACCGCGGTGACAACACTTGGGAAGGGCACAGAGCGCTTCCTCACCAGCCACTGGGACACACCACTGGGAACCCTGCTCCTGGGCGGGGGGCATCTTATGCATGGCCAGCCCCAGGCTCAGGGTGTTAAGACGGGCGCCAAAGATGGCAAAGCCATGTGTACTGGGTAAGGGGTCGGCCACACCAGGGCTCCAGCAGCACAGAGGGCAGGCCCTCCTCCCTTGGTGCCCATGGTGGTGCACGTGGCGGCCCACCGCTCGGGATGGCGTCTGGACCTCCGCTGTGCTGTGGACGGCAACACAGCGCCAGGAGCAGGATGGCTCTTCTCTGCTCTGAACCTGAGTCTTGGTTGTGATAGTGTTTTGTTTTTTTTCTTTTTTCCCCCTTTTTGCAGTGCTGGGGGCTGAGCCCAGGGCCTCACACAGGCCTGGCAAGCGCTCCACCACGAAGCACGCCCAGCCCTCGGTCCCAACCTTCATACGGCGCCTCTTCCTTCTCCTTCAGGGTCAGGTCCAGACTCTGCCACCCCATCCCTCACCTCTCCTCCTCCCACCTCTATCTCAGTCAAACTTCCCACGGGCTGGAGACACGACCACGTCCAGGTGTAGGACACGGACACTGGCCCCAGTCTCCCAGTGGGGCACTTCAGGGACCCTGCACACACACGCTCTGGGCAGGGGAGCTGGACATCTATGACTTGACTCCTGGGGTCCTAGCACCCCTGGGCCATGGGCTGCTGCCAGATGGGTGATGCTGATGGAGCGTGCAGACATGCACGGTGGGCCTGGGTCTGGGGCGGACATGCACGGTGGGACAGGGCCTGGGGCGGTGCCCAGGGTGCGACTTCCCGTTTGTGTTTACCCTGGTAGAAGACGTCTACACATGGCTGGTCAGCATTGATGGTCTTCAGGATTTTGGGGTAAGAAGGAAGGATCCTGATGATGTTCCTATGATATACCAGCAGTTTCTGGGCTGTCTCCAGCTCTGAGATGCCCTCTGGCTCTATCAGACGGTTCTGGACTTCAAGTTCCGGGGGCCAGTCGAAGGTGGTGTGATAGATCTCTGCACAGAAAGAGGAGCAGTCGTCACCACCCCGTAGGGCTGCTAGGGGGGCTGCTGTGCCTGGATAGGGCTCTGCCCTGGAGGCCCAGCTTGTGGTTGACTGACATCCCAGGGCCTGAGAGCGCCGGGCCTGCTCTCCTTAACACAAGGATAAGAGTCACCCAGGGTAGGGCTGCCATGAGTTTCTGAGCGCTGGGCCCGGGCCCGGCTGATGGGCCTGCAGACCCTCACAGCAATCACATCATTAAGTACCAGTGAGAAAACGAAATCTCACAGAGGTATCCCAGGTGGTACTGCTGGAGAGGGGCAGAGCCCCGGGGCCACAAAGCCCAGGTCTATCACTCCCTGTCCCTGCCTGCCCAGGGTCCTCCTGTCTTCACGACCCGTCGGCAGGTCCTGGCCTGTGGCACCTGCCAGTTCCCAGATAGAACACATGCCTATTCACCTGTGACCACAGCAAAGAGCAGGGTGTACTGCTTCCCAGGGAGATGGAGACAGGCCCCACCCCTGGTCCCCATGTGTGGCCCCGAGCCAGGAGGGGAGCTCAGCAGAGTGGGCTCAAAGCCTGGGCGTCCCACATCCACACTTGAGTCTGGTTCTACAGCAAACAAGCCCCTCTTCCACCTAAAGGTCTCATTTGCTAAAGTCCCCAGTTTCCCAGTCCAGCTCACAGCCATACTCCGCTGGCCCGAGTCACCTCCCAAACACTGTTCTCAGATGCCCAGCACAGGGTGAATGTGCAGGGAGTGAGGAGTCTCCAAGTGTTCTGGAAACCCACAGGGTGTGGGGCATGGAGACAGCCATACCTCGAGTCTGAGGGTCAATCCTCTTCCCCAGGTTCCTTTCGATCAGCACAGTGTCCGGAGCACTCAGCACGACTGGGCAGGGGAGACAAGGAGCAAACGCAGACGTGCCGGGCAGCTGACCCTCACGGACCAGTCCTTGCTCTATGCTTCGTTGGCTGCTCCCACCACCACCTCCCATCCCAGGAGCTCCTAAAGACAAGGTCTTCCTGGCACTAAGTCACAAAGGGTATCCTCTCGGGACCCCAGACAGCCCACTATCGACCCGCCCCCGCTAACAACCTTCACTAACATAAATAACAGCATGATCGACATCTTTGTCTAGATGCTTCTCCACATTCCTAATGACTCACTCCCTAAAGAGCTTCTCAGATAGGGGGTTTCAGGCCCAAGGAACCCGCAGGGTGAGAGTAAACCACCACCTGGCTTAAGGACAAGTGGCACTGTGCCTGGGACTAAGGCTGCATTTAATTCAACACATCTTTTTCTTGTGGGTCCCCAGACCTTCCTGGGTGGTGGCTGGGACAAGGATGGGGCTTGGGGAGCCAGCACCACAGAGCAGGGGTTCATCCCACCCAGCCCTCCTGGCAGGGCCTCGGGGTACTCACTGACGTGCCTGGGGGCGATCCCCAGGGTCTGGATCACCAGCGCCTGCTCCCGTGTCTCGGGGATGCCGTCCAGGATCCAGCCCTAGACAGAGGAGGTGAAGGGGTGCTGTCTCATCTGTTTTTAGATTTTTAAAAATTATTTTTAAAAGAACATAACAACTTTATGGAAGAACTGGAGCTTTTCAGACAAGGAAGTGAATGTCTCTGATAACAGCATCGCCTTCCTCCACAACTCCTCTCTTCCCCCCAAATCCACGTTTATGGTCATCATCAGAATGTGTGCCCCCGCCTTTTTTTTTTCAATGTTGGGGATCCCACCCAAGGCTCATTCACACTGGCAAGTGCTCTGCCTCTGAGCGCATCCCCAGCCCAACATGCACTTCTCGTCCTGATTCTTTCCACCACGTGTCAAAGCGACCATGAGCGTTTTCATTGCCTCCATATTCAGTGGCTAAACAATGTCTGTCAAGTGGGTGTGCTGCAGCTACCTAGCCACGCCCCAGCTGGACAGGTCAGCTGCAGTGTCCACTAGCGTAAGTCACACTGTGATAGGCCTCTTGTGTGCACACAGCTCTTCTCACACTTCCAATTCTTTCCTACAGAGTTTCAGAACATGCAGAAAAGCCGAAGTAGCACTGCAAGTCTCCAGGAACACCGGGCACCTAAAGGCACCACTGAGACACTTGGGCTTATCTCCTTTTCCTGAAAAAGGTCCTCTTTTCCTAGGGTGGGAGGGGAAAGAATCACACACATTTTGTGATCTGTTCCTTTCACATGGTAAGAACATGGCAGGAATGTTTTGCATGTCACCAAAGGCTCCTCCCCTGAGGTTTCGGTGGCGGCCTGAGCTGACCTGCAGCATGCTAACTACGCCAATACTGTGCTCGTTGGGTTTGATGCCACTGTTTCACCATTATTAAAAAACGCTGTTCATATGTTGTCTTGCTGAGAATCAAATATCCTCAAGGTGAATTTCCAGAAGTTGACACCTTCTCTTGTGGCTTTTGACATATTTTGTCATACGACTCCACAAAATTGCCTGGCCAGTTTATAAGTTCAATGGTGGAACCCCTGTTTCCCTGCATATTGCTAATGTTGGGCATTAACTTGAAGGAACTCTGTCCAGCAAAATATGCCACTGCTGCTTTGATTTACATTAGTAAAGTTCAATATTTTTCCATGTTTATTGGCTATTTAGATTTTTTCTTTTCTAAAATGTATATTCGTGCTATCAATCCACTTTCCCCTTGGGATTTCATCCTTTTATTTACTTATAAGAGCTCTTTACATATTAAGAATTTTAACCCATTTTGGCAAACACCACCACAAATCCTCTGAGGCCAATGATATCCTCGGGCTTTTCTGTGGTTTGTCTGTAGCCTTTGAATTTTGTGTAAGGTGTTGTTTTAACACACTGGCTTGCAGCCAAGACAATTGCTCCTTTTCTCTTTGGATTCTGGCATTGTGTGGATGTATAAAGAGATCTTCCCACCGCAAAGCTAATATTCGCTTGCATTTAAACCATGTTTTCTTATGTTTTTACTCTTTACACTTAAATATTTAAAAGTGCATGTTTTTTTTTGTGTGTGAATGGCACAGAGCTGTGACCTGTTTCCTTGTGGCTTGCCAACTATCCTGACCTCATCTGTCAAAAGTCTCTCTGTTCCCCTCCAATGTCTCTTTTGTCATAGTCTAAATGCTGATATGACTTTGGCTTTGGCCTCTTTCTGCCTGTAGATGATTAAACTGTTCTTATTTAACCTTTGAAATGATTGTTGTTTTATAATTCATTTTTATGTCTAATAGAATATGCTTCCCTTCCCATTTTTTTCAAATATTTTTTCTTCCAGGTAAGCATCAAAAAAATTTGTTTGTCAAGTTCCAAAATAGAAATTCTGGGAGGATTTTTGAATGACATTAAATATGTGGATTAATTCATGAAGAACTGACGTTCTTATAGGATCAAGTCGACGCATTATCTTCCCATTTGCTTAAGCTGTTTTCTATGTCCCTCAGCAATGTTCACATTAAACAATTTCTGAAGGCCTTTCAAGTCCCAGGAGTCTAGAGTTAGACGCACACACTGTTTAATGCTTGGGGCTCGATATCCAGATAAATCAGCAAAGTGAGCTCTCAAAGAGTGAAATATAAGAGCATATCGCTCCAGTCTCAGCTCCGCAGAGTAGGGAGCCCGGCAGGCAGGCTCTGGAGAGGAGGTTTGGGATGCAGGTTCCCCAAGAGAAGCATCTGTCAGAGACACCTCCCTCAGAGCCTGACACCTCAGGATGGGGGCGGGGGTGCCGGGGCAAGTTCAGACTCAAGGTCACTCACACCTCACACCCCAGGACTTAGAGGACACAGGGCAGGTGGGGTGAGAGGTGTCGTCTGGCAAAAACCAGCATAGCGCCCCCATTTCTATTCTACTAGAGCATTTAGGTTCCAACAGCCTCCACTGACTGCTGAATAAGAAAAGTTAAACAAATTCACAGCATCAAGAGCGCTGGGAAAAACAGACAGGTCTTGTTAATTTCTTAACCCATATAGAAAGAAACACACCATCACAAAACCCCTGGTTTCTGGAACTAAAAAAGCAAAGTTGCTTTTTTTAACAGCCCTTTCCTTTCAAATCCTTGTCACAGCCACGGCTCAGAGAAAGCAAACTGCCCAGGCGAGCCCCAGGAGCCCACAGTACGCCGTCCCCTGCGAGAGCTCCCTGGGTCCTACAAGGCCAACCAGCACTTTCTGAACTACAGCTCAACCCAGACCCTGATTTTCTCTTACGTGGAGGGGAGGTGTTAGCCCTGGGTTGCTTCCCCTAGCAAGAGGACAGCAGGCTGTGTCCAGCACTATTCGGAGCTGGAGGAACGCGGAGCTCTGGCCTTGCTAAGCACCAAGCTCGGCTTTTCATCTTGCATTTCTGAGCAATCTCCGTGAGCACCATGAACTCACAGTGGATGTCGCCTGTGGGCCAGAGCTTTCAGAGCTGTTCAGGAGAGCAGCTCTCACCAAGTCCTCGCTGGAGAAAGAGGGACTTCCAGCCGCCAGGAATGTGCTGCCAACTGCAGGGCTCCCAATTCGCCTGGTCCCACGGGCGTCACTGAGTCTCAGACTTGGGGAGGAAGGCGGGAGCTCTGAAGGGAACCCCGGTCACTGGCTCTCAGGTCGGCTCTTTTTGACTTGGGGAGGTGGCACAGTCCCCCAGGTGCTTGAGGAATGGGGTTCCTGGGGACCCACTGGGGCACACCCCACCCTACTGGACAGACAGCTCGGAGACTCTTCTCCCCTGTGCTGGCCCAGGCTGGCCCACTGCAGTCCCCCAGGAGGGACGGAGCCTTGACTGGGGCTCTGTCTCAGGATGCATCCGTCCTGGGGCATCCGTGAGATGGAAGGCCCAGGCGGGGCGCTGGGAAAGGGCCTGTCCCAGAGCTTCTGTGTTTAAGGAGGTCTCTTGCCCAGCTGGAAAGCTGACTGCACTTTCAAGGGAAATGGCGATTTTGGCAGAGAACACTTTAATGGCTGCAAATCCTGGCAAGGCGAGAAGCCATCAATCAGTAAACAGCATCCAACGACGGCTATGGTGGGACACCAAGACATTTGAGACAAGCCCGCATTGCTGGGTCTGAGGGTCCGAGGGCCGGAGTGGCTCGATGTGGAGGTATCAGTCAACCCTAATTAGAACACATTATCCATCTTCCTGACACTTCAGTGAGACGTCTGTTCCGCTCCGAGCCGCAGCTCTGTTCGAGCAGGTTAATTGATATTCTGATGCCTTCGCTCACCATACCCCTGCGGCTCGGTTCTGTTTCATCACACATCAAAAAGGCCGTATGCTCAGGGCACTCGCGCACCAGCGCAGAGCTGGAGGTCTGCACAGCTGCAAGGGGTATGGTATCACAGGAGGGACAACACTGAGCAGATGTCACAGATAAAGAAAGAGAGGAAGAAAGAAAAGACGCCAGCCAGCCTAGGGGGCTGGGCAAGGCCCAGCGGAGCACGGCCTGTCGCGGCCCAGGCCACCCTGCTTGGTGGGACACTGGCCTTTTCCGCCCTCCTGACTGTTATTAAAGGCAATTAGCAACTGCACACAAGAAGCCTCCGCTGCCCTCGGGGCCACTGCCTTCTGATGCATCGCCTTCTTCTCCTTCTGTCTCCTACCAATGCCAGAGCGCGTGTGCTCCCTGGGGTTGCCCAGCTCCACCAGGGCGAGGCCCCTGGCTCCCACAGAGGCTCCGCAGGCCCTGCCCATCAGAGGCATCCCCTGGAGCTGCAGGCTGAGTCCCCGCAGTGCCACGGGGAGGCGACCTGGGGGTGGAGATTGGGTTTCCATCAATCAAAGTCGCTACGCCTGCACCATGGGGCCTTTGTCAAGTAAGATGAGGGTCACTTGAACACAAGCACTGCGGGACCACAGCCACCTGATAACGGAGGCTGCTACGTTCCCCCAGGTGGGACAGAGCCGGTGGTGCAAGCTTCCATCATGCTACGCAGATGGGGTGAATCCCAAACTTAACAACTGTTTACTTCTGAAATTTTCCACTTAATATTTTGGGGCCACAGCTGGCAAGTAACTGAGGTCTGAGACAAGGAGGGATGGCGGTACCCAACTACCCCAGAACCAGGTACTCTGACTTATCCAAAAACACACCTTAAAAGATCAAGTTCGGGATACTGAGCCGTTCTAGACGACTAGCAAGAATGTTGACCTTCAAGTTTCATCTCAGACAACGTGGGGCACCTGCCGGCGCTCTGCGCTCTATGTGCACGCTGCGGGCAGGGTGTCTCCTCCTGAACTTGCCCCCGGGGGCTCTGACTCTTCCACCTGATGAGTTGGAGCTGGAAGCTTAGGTCCCACCTGATGCTGGGGAGAGTGACACAGCTGGTGGCTCTGAGCCCTGTCCAGTTTCGATCACTTCACCTCTCTAACGCTCTGCCGTTCCCTGGACATTAGCGCTTGCCCAAACCTCAGGCTCCACCCCGCATCGCAATCTTCTATATTCTGCCCTCATGGCAGGGAGAAGGGACATAGGATGTACCACAAGCCCACGGAGCACACCCACGTGGTGTCTGCTGCTCAGCTGCAGA